TTAGTTGAAATAAATTTAATTTTAAAGGTATTATTAAAGATATAAGGATAAATGATGGTGTATTGAACCTATAAAATGTAAGGGTAAAATGGAAAGTTGAAGATATAAGGATAAATAAGGGTATATTAAACCTATAAAATTGAAGATATAAGTGTTGAGCTATGGTTGATTATAATTTTAAAAGTTTTGATTATAACAAACAAGTTAATCTTTTTTACTAACAATTGAACTTAAAGTGATTATAGTTTTCAAAACATTCAATGATAAATTCATCAATCATCATCAAAAGATCTTAAAAAACAAACTTCAGAAAAGATCAGAATCAAGAGTTTAAAAGTCAAACGTCAATGGAAGATCAAGACGAGAGACTAAGAGCCAAACTTCGAAGCAAAGCCAAAAACTAGTTTTCTTAATTTAAATGTAAAGCTATTAATACTTTTATTTTTAGTAATGAATGATAAAAGTTCAAAAATTATTGTATGCATTAAAAGCTGTTTTGATTATCACTTGCATAAAATGTTTTGATCAAAAATAAAATTGATTTTCAAAATGATATTTGAACTTAGACCATATTTTTAAAACATTATTTATCTTGAAAACTAGTTAAAAACACTTTCAAAAGGTCTACATTTGTCAAAATATTCAAATCGGATCAAATGCGGTCAAAAATAGGAAAATCAGACAAAACAGTCGAATGTCCTATCTGATCATGTGGACGTCCGTATGGTCGTTCGGATCCTAGAAAGTTTTACAAAATCTTCCTTTATAAATTCGTAAAATGCAATCATCTGGTTTATGCAACGGTCGAATTTTTTACCGTTAAATTTCATATGCATAACGGCTATTTTGGTCGTCCGGATCCAAAGGCAGATATCTGATTAGTTGTCTGGTTCGATAGAGTATTTTTGCTTTTTGAAATCTATAAATACTCTCACCATTTTCATTCTTCACAAGAGTTTCAAGAACATTAAGTGATTTATATTTTGAAAGAATTTTTAAGCCTACGTTGCATTCATTTCATTTATTTATTCATATAAAAAACTTTGATTAATTCATCTTTATCAAAGTTTTTTATCTCTCTTTTTATACTTAACTTATTTTTATCATTTATAAAAGAGAGATATGTTTTAAAGAAAAGTTTTGAACTTACATTGCATATATTTCTTCCATTTCTTCATATTAAAAACTTTGATTGATTGAATCAAACTTTTAATTATCATCTTCATCAAAGTTTCTCATCTCTCTCTTAGAACTTAATTTATTGCTATCACTCATTAAAATGGAGAAATATTTTGAGAAAACTTTTTAATTTAAATTATATTTAATTCTTCTTCTTCTCGTTGAAAAATTTTGATTGATTGAATCTAATTTTTAATTATTATATTTATCAAAGTTTTTCATCTAACACTTGAGCTAGTATTTGTTTCTATTCATTGAAGAGTTAGTCACTCTTAATTCTTAATTCATTTGTATCGTTTGTTAAGAGAGAAATTTCATTGTAAAATCATTTCTCTAAACTTGTGGGTAATATTGAGGTCTCGTGGAAGCTCAATAGTATAAAGATCAATGTTCCTTGTTGCAAATCACTTTGTGGGTCATATTGAGATCTTGTAAAGCCCAATATTGTATAAGGATCGATACTTCTTGTTTGTAAATCATTGTAAGCATTGTAAATGGTTGGATTGCACATAAATCAATCAATATAGTAAAAAGGTCTTATTCGTGCCGAAGAGATTGGTAACAGATAACGTAGATCATTACTTTGAATCAAACATCCACGATTATATCGTTTGTATCCTCTCTACCCTTTTACTTATCGTTATTTTATTTATATTTATTATTTGATTGATCTACTTGCTTGTATTTGATTACAATTATTAATTGATCAACGTGTTCCTAACTTGTTTGATTAAGTTTATTTTTCGAAAAAGTTTTAAAAACAATTTCACCCTCCTTTTGTTTAGTTATTCTTGGGCTTTCGATAAGGATAAATGAGGTCATATTAGATCTATAGCTAAATATGTATGGGTAAAATTGGTAATCAAACTTCACAATCCCTCCTTTTAATATATTATATACATTAAACTCTCAATGCAAACACAATCCATGGAATATATTTTCGCGAAATTTAAGGAGCCACATAGATGGCTGCATCTTTGAACCAATTCTACCTCTAGATACGAATTCAGATTGGACGTGTTTCAGCTTGATTGTTGACTTGAACAAATTGGTTGTATTTATGACCCCTCAAATAAATCTGTAACCATTTTGTAAGTCATGGCATTGAAAGAGATAATTCGAAAAAGAAGACTCTTGGAAGTGATAAAGAACGATTTCATAATATTTTGGGAGGCTATGAATGTAGTCAATTTGTTCAATTCAATAATGAGACAAAACACTTATCTGCATTCTTATCCAGAGGTAGATTTGGTTAAAAATATATGGAAGAAAGATGTAGAATAATATGATTTATAATATATTTGGATAGAAATAACTCAAATAAGTAAAACTTTAGATTGCACAATAAAANGTAACGCCTTGAGTCATAAATTTTTTAGTCTTCACCAAATAAATGTAATAATATTTGACAAGTGGCATGATTTTTGCAAGATTGCCTCTTGCATTATGAAACTCATCTAATATTTGAACATTTATCTACTCAAGACTAGAAAAGCTGGCTCGACTAACAAAAAAACTGAGATCATCTCAATATGAGCCAAATGACCCATGAGCCAAGTCCACGAGCCAATGAAAGGCTCGGCCTGTTTGCCACCTTGTAGTGGCAAGAAATTTGTTGACAATAAGATCATGCTGATTTGTTAGGTCAATAAAACTATAGCTATGTTTGATGCACATTTTGGGAATAAGAATGCATTTTTACCGTTGATGTGATGGGGAATATGTGGTTGAAAAAAAAAAGTTATTGATGTGATAGAAAATATTATTTTATTGAAAAATATGTGATTGAAAATGAGTAAAAGAATGAGAATGAGAAAAATAATGTGGATTAAACATGGGCTATATATTGAGTTTTGTTATGATCATGTATGTATAGTGTCATTGGAGGCTCTTTTGTGAATGAGTAAAACATCTTATGACGTGGTAATATGCATTTCCTTCACTTCTCAAGCTAAGAGAAGAATACTTGTCATCAAGAAACTAAAAATGTTTCGTATTCGTTTGCAAAAAAGGCCATTGTTTTTAATGTGGAATTCATAAGGGCGATAGAATACTAAAGAGATACTATTGCTTGATAGTAGATCCCCTACGTCTCAATTGTATAAGTGCATCTATAGGGTACGTGGGGTGGGACATCCTCACTTCGAAGAAGGGATGGTTAGAGATTTTTAAAGGATATATCGATAAATCTAGATCATTAGATTGACTTAAATTAAGGGATAAGATTATTTGTCAAATGTATTTAATTTTATAGATAGATTGTAGGTGGAAGTTCCCCCAAAGTAAATTATCCAAATATGCATAAAAATAATAATTAAAAAAATTACTTAAAATTAGCTTCACTACTTGTTGAAAGTTTAGCCGAACTTCCTCAAACAAATGACAAAATAAATGGCACAATCAATATGCATTCGAACCCCCTTTATATGTAGAAATCTTTCAAGATTTGTTCATTCTTTTCTTTAATAAATGGTTAGAAATTCATTTAATTTCACGTTGCGCGAAAGGAGGGAGTTGGAAGTCTTTGTCCTCTTCTCGTTGATAAGGAGAGAAAAAAAAATAAGATCAAAAGAAAAATCCATTTTGCACGTATATTTAGTTGACCATACAAATCTAATCATAATCAAAGCATATTTTTCTCACTTTTTCTTCAAAAATAAGGGCCATCAATTCTCCTATTCTCAAGGATTGTGAAATTTGATCATAATAGGTTTGTCCATTATAATCCCCCCAAACTTAGTTTTCAATACGCATAACCTTTCTCTCCTCCGGCTTTTGTCTCATACTCTTTTCTCGTCTTGATTCTTGATCACGTCCTTTGGGGCTCTATATACTTATATCCTTTGAGGGTAGAGGCTATATGTATATATCCTTCGATGCTATATAAATTACTCGGTTCTGTTTATTTTCTTTCTCGTATGTGATCATGTAAAGAGACAAATTTTCACCTTGGGAGGATTAAGAGTCATCGATGCCTCGTTCCTTAACAAGGTGTTTATGATATATTCGAGCCATTAACACTTCATAAAAATCTAACCATTATTCAAAGAGTTTTTGATAAGTATATATTCACATGCATGTCTCAATACAATGCCCACAAATGTTTTACGTATATATCAGCAAATTCATATATTCATCAAAGGCCAAACTCTTGACAATTTTTCATAAATGGATAACGACAAGATTTGATTCGATGTCTTTTATTTTGTTTTAATATTATTTTTATCACATCCATATAATTATTCCAAATCTACAAATATGGTATTTCTCTTTCAAAAATTCATAGAAAGAAATTTTTAAAATTTTTATCATTTACCTTTTAGTGTCTGACAATTTTTCATTGTCTCACAGAACAAAGACATCAGTATACATAAGAAATCTTTGAACTCTCAATCTAAACTTAAAACTAGGGACAGCCATGACAGCACCTGAATTTCTTAACAAGGTAATTTATGGTAACAGTCCAAGCTTTGGAACTGTGATCAAATCCAACTGTAAAGAAACATTCTCCCAGACGATCCATTTCACGAGTTGAAGAATGAGCCATGTGTGCGTCGAACAAGGAAAACAATTCAATATTTCATTCCCATATTCGAATGGCAGCCAAAGTATGACTTTGGTTTGTTCAAGTATGATCTTCTTGCTGGTATCACCATCGACACCCTTGCAATACCACAAGGCATCAGCTATGCTAACTTGGCTAGACTTCCTCCCATTATTGGCCTTTGTAAGTTTCAATTGCTCTTTCGATATGTACACAATTGTACGACATTTTTAATATGTAGTATTACATCGAGTTAATAGTGAAAGTATAGCCCATCTTACGAAATATACAAATAAATAATTGGGCTTTTTAAGCTCCAATTGCTCCTGTAATATAAATAATGCATATTTAGCACACAGTATTAAACACGGACGGATCTAAGTGCAAAGTCTTTTGGCTGTAGACCAATGTAAAATTTATCTCAGAAACTCTATTATTTCTTTACTTCACAGAATTGGTTCAAAGATATTCTCTTATCCTCAGTTCGGCAAAATTAATAAATTAAATATAAATGGTCAAATTTCGTTTTTAACCACACATTTCAATAAACCACAAGTACTGTTAACGTTTATATCACTCATTTCTATCTAATTATAGATTTTATGTTTATAAATTCTTCCCAAATGGAGTTGGCCATATAATGCTCAAGAGTCCATCCCAAAAGTCTATGTCCATACTAGTTTAAAAAAATTAGTACACCCTAAAATGCATTTCTAGTTCCACCCTTGTATTAATTATGATTGGTCAAAATAATAGATAAAATTTTAACATTTTTCATTATATAATATTACTTTACAATATGCCTTACTAATCAAGCAAATAAAGAGTTGGGCTTTCTAAGCTTGAATTTCTCTTTCAATGGATGTTTATTGAGCAATATACGACATGATTAAACAGTACGAGTAAATAAAGTATTTGATTGAATAGAACAATACTACTGTTACGGAAAAAATTAATCTATAAAAATAACAGAACACACACATGGGGGTGGGTCCCATTTTTTATAATAATATTTTATTCACATAGGGCCTACCCCCATGTGAGTATTCTGGCATTTTTACAATAAAATAGTTCTGTACAAGTGGTTTAATTGGATTGAATTAGACTAACTTAATAGATGTCATTTACATTCTCTTATTTTATGTGTATTTTGGTGCAGACTCAAGCTTTGTGCCTCCTCTTATCTATGCTGTTTTTAGAAGTTCAAAAAATCTAGCAGTAGGAAGAGTTTCAGCTTGTTCATTATTCATAGCAGAAACAATTGAAGAAAAAGTATCTCCCACTGAAGATCTCAAATTGTATCCAAGTGTTGTTTATACAACCACTTTTATCTCTGGTTTGCTTCAGACAGCAATGGGACTATTAAGGTAATAAGGGTTATGAACAATATTTTCCAAAATAAGATGTTTTGATAATAAGATAGAACTTTCAAAATAAGTAACTGATTTATTTTCAAACATAACGATTACTTCTGGCAGTGGAAATGGGAAAGTGCAGAAAAATAAGAAACCCAAATTATTTTGGGTGTCAGTCAGCCATAGCTCCAATGGTGGTTGTGGTCACTGGATGCCTTTTTGCTTATTTCACTCAAGCAGAGAAACATGTCATTCCAATTGTGAATAATCTGAATTTACCTTTTAAGTTAAGGTTTTGTTCTATATTCATCAAGGAAAATGCTTCTTGTATATAACTATTTACATAAGTTATAGATAATGATAAGATGTCAAAATGGAAGTGGCGAGGAGAAGTTATTTGATTAATGAGATTTTGATCCAACTAAATCTCGTCACATTATTTGTTGGTAAATTATTACGTAAATTGTTGTGTGTATGTAGCACAATGGATTCATCAAATGTTGATGTATTTATCAACCCGGCTCTATAAGGGTGGACACTATTGAAGTGGACTAGAAGTGAATTTTTAGAAGTTGAAAAAGATTGAAAGCTTTTCTAATGGAAAGTAAACAGGATTATCTAACAGTCAGGAAAATCAGAACATATCATTTATGACTTGTTTGGAATGGTAGACTTTGCAGTACTCGACAATATCTAACAAAGAAAAAAATCCGATAAACTTTTTTATTGTACTATGTAATCTAACTCACCCTTGAATTTATTCACTCCTTATGAAATTGCTTATTCATTGAAGGTGGGTGATCTCAGTAAAGGAATAAATGATCCCTCCATACAACTTCTAAACTTTGATCCGAAGTATATATCTGCACCTCTAAAAGCTGGAATTGCCACTGCTTTGATAGCTCTTGCAGTAAGTACACTTCCCATTTAGTAATGTTTATTGTATATATTCTATCTTTTTCTTCATTAAGAATTGACTAACTGGTTGATAGATCCATGTGGAAGAGTGTTAACAAAGATGTAAAAAAGAGTGTACATATAGCATGATTGTAATTTTTTTCCCGGAGTGAAGGGAAGAAGAATGTGCAGCAAATGTTGATTTTTTATTTTATTTTTCAATTTTTGTAACATAAAAAAATTGTTACAGGAAGGGATTGGTTGGAAGAAGTTTTGGCCTTTCAAAAAATGAACAAATTGACGGTAACAAGGAGATGATAGCCCTTGGCCTCATGAACATTGTTGCATCTTTCACGTCGTGCTACTTGACCACTGGTATGTGACACACACACACTACAATTATTTCCTCGACCCAAGATCAACTTAACATTCTTACAATATATAAAGGACTTTTAAGTGATCGTTTTTTATACACAAAAAGTAACGTGAAACAAACCCTTGTACGTTTTTCTTCAAAATGGCTATTTTCTTATTAATATTGAATATGATTTTACAGGGCCATTTTCAAAAACTACTGTAAATTTCAAGGCTGGATGCAAAACAGCAATGTCAAATGTAGTAATGTCACTGTGTATGCTGCTGGTTGCTCTTTCGGCCATTTTCATGTCAGCAATGCTTGGGCTTATCGAGTACGTAAAGGCTTATCATTTGTTCAAGACATCCAAATTTGATTTCCTTATTTGCATCAGTGCTTTTCTTGGTGTTTCTTTCATAGGCATGGAAACCGGACTCGTGATTTCAGCAAGAAATAGAAATTGTATTATTATGGTCTTGTAAATATTAC